GGCAGGGCTCTGGAATGTCTTGGCCAGAGCGGGGTGGGGGCAGCAGGTGTAGTGGACGAGAGCAAGTCAGGGCACGTGTGGGCTGAGTGCAGGTTTGCTACCGTTGTCCACTGTCTTCCTCCTCCACTCCCCGCCACAACCAGTTGATCGCCATTGCGACCGGGGGCCGGATCGTCCCGCGGTTCTCAGAGCTGACGGCTGAGAAGCTGGGCTTTGCTGGGCTGGTCAAAGAGATCTCATTTGGGACAACGAAGGACAAGATGCTGGTCATCGAGCAGTGCAAGAACTCCAGGGCCGTGACCATTTTCATCAGGGGAGGAAACAAGATGGTGAGACTTGAGTTGCCTTTCCCAGGATGCTTCACAGAGACGCGGTGTGAGGTGCTGGTGGCCATGGCCACCGTCAGTCCTGGAGGTGGAGAACGGGAGTGGGCAGCGGCCGAGACCGCCTCCCCCCGCGACGCTCCCGGGGCCCGTCTTGTCGCGTCTTGGCCGCCTTCGCGTGGTTTGTCCTGCTGCCTGTTCAGTCCTGGCTGGTTTAAACTACCTTGTAGGGAGAGAAGGCGATGGAGGCGCGAGTGTGGCCTAGGGCCTTGCTTCCTTTCCACCAACATGGTTGGGGCTGGGGCAGGCGCCCGGCTGCCAGGCAGCTTGAGCGCAGAGGTCACGGTCGAGTCGACTTAGGCAGCGCTGTGTCCCCAGATCATCGAGGAGGCCAAGCGATCCCTTCACGACGCGCTGTGTGTCATCCGGAACCTCATCCGAGACAACCGCGTGGTGTACGGCGGCGGCGCCGCGGAGATCTCCTGCGCGCTGGCCGTGAGCCAGGCAGCGGACAAGGTGAGGTGCTGCGCAGCCTGCGGGGTCTCCAGCCCGGGCTCCCGGGCCCGGTGGGAAGCGCCCTGGCGAGTGCCGGCTAAGCAGCGGAGTGCCCTTCGCTTCTGCGTGGCCCCCCAGTGCGTGCGTGACGGGCTGCCCCGTGTCCCCCGCTCACTGCCGCCCTGCCCACAGTGCCCCACCCTGGAGCAGTACGCCATGCGCGCCTTCGCCGACGCCCTGGAGGTCATCCCCATGGCCCTGTCGGAGAACAGCGGCATGAACCCCATCCAGACCATGACCGAGGTCCGAGCCAGACAAGTGAAGGAGGCGAACCCCGCCCTCGGGATCGACTGTCTGCACAAGGGCACAAACGGTGAGCGCGCGGTGGGCGACGCTAGCCCCGAGGTGGGGCCTCTGGGGCCTGGCCCTGGGGCTGACCAGCTCACCTGGGCGCAGGTTAGATGCTAGACTGGACTCAATGACCAGCTAGTGGCTTACGCCGAAGGTGGTTTTCAGTCACTTTTACACACACAAGGTCCATCACAGTGGGCTCTGGGGGTCGTGTGGAACAGCTGAGGTCGGCTTCCTGCTCCCTGTTCGTAGTCGTGCCCGTTGGCCAGGGGTGTGTGATGGTGAACACGGCAGCGTACTCGGCCTGCGGAACAGCCCAGTCCCTGTTCTCACTGCACCGGGCCTGAGGCTCTGCGATCGGCACCAGCCGCAGGCTCTGGGCCGGGGCTGAAGTCTCCCTCAACAGTGTGATCCTAGCTGGCCCCAGGCACTTCACTTGCGGTTGAAGACAGGTCCGCCTCCCACCCACCGCCTCAGGTTGCGGAGGTCCTTGAAATACAGCTGGTGCCAGTGGCCGCAGATCCCGGGCGTCACTGTGACCGTGTGGGCTGTCGGTGCGCATGCGTGCTCTCGGTAATCGGCTGGTTTCTCCCTCAGATATGAAGCAGCAGCACGTCATAGAAACCTTGATCGGCAAAAAGCAGCAGATCTCTCTCGCCACGCAGATGGTTAGGATGATTTTAAAGATTGATGACATCCGTAAGCCTGGGGAATCCGAAGAATGAGAGAACCTAGAATGAGTGCAGTAAGACCCTGGAACGTGGCGCCGATCATCTGCAGTTATTTATTGTTCCGCCCTCCGCGGGTCCCTCTCGATGCGGCAATAAAAGGCTGTTTGGTAACTGGCTTCAGAGTGCTCTGATTGTGGGGTCCCGTCTCCCGGGCTGTGCATCGCTCTTGAGTTTCAGTGGGACGTTAGTTGTAGTCAAGTGTCTTAAGTGGGAGACAGCGCAAAGCATTGAGGGTTTGAGGTTTGTTTGCACAAGAGGGATCCGGCTCAGCTTACAGAGCACCCTTCGAAGCGGCACCATGGGGTGGGGGGTATGGGGTGGGGCTCCTATCAGCAGTGCGTCCCCACTGGGGGCGCCAGGTGGCAGGGCTGTCCGGGGCAGGGGCGGGTTCTGCAGCGCGGTGGCAGCGCTGTCCAGGGCCCCTTTGCTGATCCTGGCCCCGGCCCACCTGAGCACAGCCGGCTGGCGGGTGCCGAAGGAGGTGACGGCAGAGGCAGAGCAGGAGACGCCTCTGATGGCCCACGCGGGCGGGCTGGGAGGCGGCCAGAGGCTTCAGGCCTTGGCCTAGGAACCCCATGGTTCTCACCCAGGAGGTGCGCTGCCCACCCCTCAGGGTGGTCACCAGCCTGTCAGGCCAGCTCCTCCCCCCAGGGCTCAGCCCTGACACTGTGTTCCCTCCAGGGGCCTGGGCCGGGAATGCCGGGAGAAGGTGACCAGGCCACTGAGCCCTCGGCGGGGTCTGCCACACAGGTCAGATTCGAAATTAGGAAATGGCCCGTGGTCCAGGTCGACTTTGGTGACATCGCGGGGCCACCACAGAAACATAGGCACTGGCCGCTCCTGACGTTGGGTCCTTGTGTCTACACTAGTGCTCCGGTGGGTTCACTGAAGTGGATTGAGGAAATGTGCCAATACTCCTACTCATGTTAGTGTTTCTGGAACACAGCTCTGTGTTGAAAGCTTGAACCCTGAGGCACCTTCACCCTGCAGCGGACAGGAGCCCGACCCTGGCGGGCGCCAGGCAGACTTGGTCTAGACCCTGCCCAGCGCTTACAGCAGTGAGCTGGCAGCGGATGGGGCAGTGGACAGACTGGTCAGTCGAGCAGAAGGCAGCCTCCAACATCCTCCCTTCCCAAGCGTGGCACCCAAGTCCACAGGGGCACGTGGGGCTCCCAGACACCCCCACGAGCCCAGCTCCTGTCAGTCCTGGCTGTGCACACCATTTCCCTAACCTGGGCAGGCTGGGGAACCAGGACGGGTTCTGGCGGAGGCCCCCTGACGAGAACAGGCGCAGGTAGAGAGCTTCCCTACCACGACTGGGGTCGTGAGGCCGAGGGGGGCAGCCCTCACCCACATCCTGATGCCAGCGAGATCCTGCAGTGATCTCAGCCACTGCCAGTCGGGCTTGGACTTTGCAGCCCGACAACTCACCTGAAAACTCCAGGCGAGACCAAAACCAGCCCCCACGGCCCCGCTTCTGCTGCACTCCCAGGTGCCCGCCCAGCTGACCCGGTCCACCGTGTCCCCAGCTTCTCTTCACCTGCCCGTCACTACTGCCCTCCCCCGCCAAGGGCTCCGCCTCCCAGTGCTCCCTGGAAAGGCCGCTCTTACATCCCTTGGCACCCCCAGGCCCAGCCATGGACAGTGGTGGTGACTCCCGAGACCGCGGGGCACCCTCCCGCTGCTCCCACTCTTCCTCTGCAAGAACTGCCCCCCAATGGGCCGTGGCGCACACGGGGGTGAAAACAGGACCTCCCCACGGAGCGCTGACGGAGGAGCCGCACAGCCCAGGCCACGGTGGGGGCTCTGCAGACGCCGAGGTTCCCAAGAGAACAGGTCTCTGGTCTGAACTGGACTTTGCTGGGGAGAAGCGTTCTGCAAAGTCAGCAGGGCACGTGGCTGGTGTAGACAGCGCTGCCCACGCAGGACCCCTTCCTGCGCTGCGGGGGTGCTCGACTGTGGCCAGGGCTACCAGGAGCTGGAGATGAATGCGTGCGGGTTACGCTGCTTACAGCACTGGGTCTCAGGAGGGCAGCCTCCTGCCTCCGTCTGCCTCAGCCCGCCCACCCCGCCGCAGGCCTGGACGCTGTCCAGTCAACACCCCCAAGCCGTGCCTCCCCCTCCTCCCCCTTCCATTGTCAGTAGTTTGATTTTAATTAATTCTGATTCAATGCATGAGAGAATTGTCACGCAGCCCTTGCCCCTGAGACCCCAAAACGCCAGGGCTTAGAAAATCCCTGCCTCGGAAACAGCTGGACAGTAACTCAAATCCATCATCTTTAATTAGCTTTTAGATAAAGTCATACATTTTAAAGCAGAATTGAGTTTATTAGCTTGGTATAATCAGGCCATTTTAATGCCAGGTTTTAAAGTCAGCATTTCTCACAGTGCCATGTGACCGTAGCAGATTCATCTGCAGGAAGACAAGCTACTCAGCTAATTAAGCTGGCTCTTCCCCACCTGGGCGTTCAGTGCATGTCCTCCTGGGCTGTGGGGCTCGGTCACTGAAGGACCAGCAGGGTGCAAGGGGAGGGAGCCCACTCCCGCTGAGCGACGTGGCCCGGCTTCTGCTGATAAGGGCACGCAGGTGTTTCCACGACTGGCCTGTTCTAATATTTTTTATTTAGGCACGCGCTGGAAATTAAGTTATTTCATACATTAATTCCTACTGAACTGGCATTTCAGGTGACAGTGAACTGCAGGTTTCTTGGTTTGTTTTACATGAAGTGAAAATTAAATCAAATGATGAGGTACTGGAGGCAAGGTTCGGGGTGGAAGCTATTTGAGTCAGCTTGCACGTGGCCGTGGCTAGATGTACTTGTTCAGCCACTCAAGTAAATTCCTTCTTGCCTCATCAATATAGGGCTTGTCCTCAGGTGTGCAGTCTTCTCTCTTCCGATGCACAAAGCCGTGGGTTTGCCCGGAGAACGTTTTGATTTGGTACTCCACTTTGCAATGATCTTTCAGTTTCTGAGTCAGCAGCGAGACCTAAGACGCAAAGGACGTCATGAGGATATGATTTTAACCCTCGAGTACGACGAATCCCCTCTCTAAATCTGAGAACGCTCAGAAGTTAAGATATTTAACATCGGGGGGCCTCCCAAGTGGCACAGGAGTGAAGTCTCAGCATTACCAAGCTGTCACCGCTGCGGCCTGAGCATGTCAGTCAATGGAGGGACCCCCAGGGCGCGGCAGACCTCTCCTGCCTCCCCGCTGCTCCCCTCAGCAGTGTACTTCCTCCATCTGCCTGTTCTGCCCCCCACTCTTGTCTCTGGTGAATCCTCTCACCCCTCTGCACCTCTGGCCTATACCCCAGTTCTGTATGCACAAATAAATAAGTAAATCTTTAAAAAAAAAAAAAAAAAGCTCCTTTAAATTAGCTGTACAGAGTCAGCCCTCCCTGGTGGTGCAGGGATAAAGGCTCAGCACTATGCAACCATCGCCAGCCACTGCAGCACAAGATCGATCCCTAGTCAGAAAGCTGACCCACATGGCACAGCAGACTCCCCTGGTTTACCCCCTGCTCCCCTCAGCAGTGTATTTCAGTGCACCCCCACGTTCTGCTCCCCACTCTACCTCTGGTGAATGCTCTCCCCGCCCCTGCACCTCCGGCTTGTACCCCAGTTCTGTATG